AAATCTTAGCTCTAGAAATTATCTATAACAAATATTGCATAGTTTAGATAATATTTCTTCGGTGTGTACAGGGTGTCTCAAATTGGAACCTCGTTATTTGGATCTCCGAAGAGTTAAGAGATCGATTAATAGAGTGAAACTTTGCAATTTTTTCATGCTGGCAAAATGGCACGTAAAAGTTAAAAAATTCTGAATACTTTTCAATTTATTTTATTTTTTTATGACACCGTTTTCTTGTTGAATATGTTTTCCCTTTGATCTGCCATCATCAACTTTCATTTTTTAAATACGGCCGGGGATTTTTTATTACTTGATCTTATTCGAAAAATTCACATTAATGTAATTTTCCGTAATAAATCATTTGTTAGAGAAAGACAGAGAATATATTTTTCGTAAGATCTTGCCAGAAAATAGAGAGCAATAAAAAAATTAGAAGAGAGAATTCGAAGAGAGAAACGTGTGATCAGCAGGTAAAAAAGTAAAAGGCCGTTCCATAAGGTGGTATACTGATGTTTCCAAAACCAAAGCAAGAATAGGGATAGGAATATTTGGTCCGAAAACTAAATACTCCGAACCATTGTGCACCTACCCCAAAATCTTTCTTCATGCAGAAATCTACGCTATCGAAAGATGCGTACATCTTATTTGAAACTACCGGAAACAAGAAATTACCATCTTATCTGATGTCAAGCAGCATTAAAAGTTATCAACTCAGTAACCATCAATTCGGAGTTGGTCAAAGAATGCCGAGAGAAGCTAAACAAATTAGGCAAAGAAAATAATGTTCCCACTCTGGGTGCCAGCCCACCAAAGTTCTATCCCTTTCGAGGCAATAAAAAAGCAAACGATCTAGCTAGAAAAGCTGCAAACACTCTACTAACTCCAGTGGTGTTTAGAAAAATAACTATTTTATTTTGTAGATTTTCTTCTAATAGCGTAGACTTCTCCTACAAATCTTTTCAAGAAAGGTTGTCCAAAATGAACCTCATTGGAAAAAAAAATAAATTGACGCTTAATTTACAGGAACCGTTCTCATATCTAGCAATAATACCAGCTTTAGCCATCAGAGTATGGAACTTTAACAAAATGGCAACTACTTATAAAACATACCAATGCCAATATTCTCAATGGCAATGGGCAGGACACCTGGCAAAAAGATTTATTTAGCGTATGGCGTACATGGATTTAATTACAGCATCAAATGTATAGTATATTCAAACACAATATAACATGTAAATTAACACAATATAACATGTAAACAGATTGTCACAAATTGTAAAAATAAAACTAGATATTTAAAAAGTTATACACAAAACATATTACAAAAAGTACACTTAAATTTTAAAATCTAGGCTATTGATCCAGTTCAACACGGCGTCTGTGGCTTCAAAGAAATCACTCGCTTCTCCTCCATATGCTGTAAGAGGGCATTAAGTTACAATGTGATGAACAGTTTGACGTGGTTGTCCGCAGTCACAAGTCGGTGATCTGGTCAGTCCCCATTTATAAAAAGAATCACGACATATGCCATGAGACGTTCTTACCCTGTTGAGTACCTTCCACTCGTGGCGGGGCAGCTCCATCCCTGGTAGAGCTGCTGTAGGGTCGATGACATAAGCTGCTTGATCTGGTTTCAAAGAGTCCCAGTACTCCCTCCATTTATCACTTATACTGAAGTTTTCTCCCAAAAGTTGTTCTGCTAATAGTAGTGCGGGGGATCTAGACTTCAGTCTTCGCAGACGGGCATCTGGCAAGTCGTTGTGGACTGGAAGATGGGGATTTGATAATATTTTCTAATATTCCTAAACGAGTCTTTCCTGTCTTCGAATACTGGGAGGTGCAATACGACTCAGAGTGGGCAGCCAAGGTAGAGGTGTGCTTTTTAAACAGCCGCTGACTATTCTCATAGTCTCATTAAGTTTGGTGTCAATTATCTTTACGTGGCAGCTGTTTAGCCAAACTGGAGCGCAATATTCAGCAACTGAGTAAACTAGGCTGAGAGCTGATGTTTTAAGAGTGGATGCGTTTGCGCCCCAAGTAGTACCGCAAAGTTTGTGTATTATATTATTTCTAGTAGTTATTTTAGCTGCGGTATTCTCTAGATGCCTTTTATACGAGAGTGTTCGGTCCATTGTTACTCCTAGATATTTTGGATAAGGGTCATAACGTAGCAAGTTGTTATTGAAGTATACTTGGGGCTCCAGGCGTGCTTGTTTATTATTGAGATGAAAGCACGACACTTCAGTTTTATTCATATTTGGGATTAGTCTCCAGTTTGCGAAATATTTTCCCAGTACAGACAGGTCTTCTGATAATAGGCCATTGGCTTCCTCTATAGTTTTACTGGGGATGGCAAGAGCTAAATCGTCGGCATACCCAAATTTTGTTGACGTTGTATGTGAAATGTCGGAGATATATAGATTAAACAGTACCGGTGCGAGTACCGAGCCTTGAGGGAACCCATTATTAAGGTGTCTTATTTTACTCTTCTTTTTTCCTGTTATAATTTGGAAGGGCCTGTCACACAGCATGTTGTTTAATAGAAATGCTATTCTACTGCAAACTACGTTGAGGAATTTGTATAGAAGACCTTCTCTCCAGACCGTGTCATACGCCGCAGTCAAGTCAACATACACCACAGTGGTCTTCAGCTGTTTTTGGAATCCTGCTTCAATGTGTGTTGTTAGGCTGAGTACCTGGTCCACACAGCTACGATGCGGTCTGAATCCAGCCTGTTCAACAGGAGCATGTTCCAATATCAATGGGACTATTCGGTTTAATAGCATACGTTCTAGAAGTTTGTAGCATGAACTTAATAAGGCTATTGGGCAGTAGCTTTCAGGCAAGTTCTTAGGTTTGGTTTGAGAACTGCAACTATTTTGGCTTTAGAACTGCAACTATTTTGGATTTCTTGAGCTCTATTGGAATATGCCCTGTTAGTAGGATATCGGAATAGAATTTACTCAGCCACATTCTTGTATGTTTCCCGCAGTTTTTGAGGAATTCGGGGTGAATTCCATCGAATTCAGGAGCTTTAGCAGATTTGGTGTGTTCCAGTGCTTTATCCACTTCTTCCACAGAGAATGGCTTGGCGTATTCAGAGTGGGCACTTGCTTTTTGGCGGCAGATTGTCAGTTGTTTTTTAATATTTGCGTTTTGTTGTTTGCTGCTAGGGGCCTTAGAAAGTGTTATCACTCTTGCAGCGATTTGGTCTGCTGATACTTCCGGTGGTTCACGAGTGGGTGGGTTAGAGCTGCCCAGTTTCCTCAGAAGGCTCTAAGCCCCCTTGCTAGATTTTGTGAAGTCCATTCTACCTGTCGTTTCTTCCCATTTTTTACAGCGTTCTATATCAAGACGATTAAGGAACTCGTCTGCTATCTCAGAGTCTCCGGTGTTCTGAAATTCCTGATAGAGCTGTTCCATGTTGTCACTCCATCCTGGGACATATTCCTTTCGAAATTCACGTGGTATACACTTTTGCTGTTGTTGCCGGCAAAAAGAACTGACACCAGATGGACCACAAAAAATTACAATATGGTACCCACGAGGAATTAAGAGACCTAGAAGAAGACCGAACCTGAGATGGGACCATGATATTAAGAAATGAGGAGGGATATCTTGGGCCCGCATAGCCAACAATAGATAACAATGGGCCCAACGACAAAGAGAGTATGCGATGGAGGCTACACCATAATTGAAAATGGTTGAATAAGCTGAAAATGATGATAATGATGATTTCCCCCTTAATAAGCGCTAAAAATATATATGTAATAGTTTTGACAAAGTAATGTGAATTTTTAAAATGCAAGTAATTGGTAAAGAGATAACGAGAAACATACACAACCAAACCAAACCAAACCAAACCAAGCCAAAAACAGTATATTACATACCGAGGAAGGAAGTGTTTCACTGCTGTCGAGAGATTGATATTATTGGGTTGGGTTGGCGTAGCGTCGAGATTAACTAAATCTCGAAACAATAATGAAAACTTTCCTCCGAGGTTTGTATACTATTTTTTTACAACCACATCAATAATTAAAAAATAAGGATAGTATTTTATTTGAAAAAAAATAATTAAATATGCGAAAATTTGTCGTTTTCTGTTTTGGCATTTCCATATCTATAGTTACCGGTACCAGTGGTTGTTATGGCGTAAACCTTCAACAGCAAAACAAACAACTAAGTGACAGTTTTGAATTTCTCGTTCGCTTTTTCGAATTTATATAACATAGAAAGCCAGAATGTTGTCGGAAAGTTCTGATAATGAAGACTACTTTAATATTGGTACTCAACCAGAACTTACAGAAGCTGCAAAAAGAGCTGAAGCCAGTTTACTTCCAGAGAAAAGTAGGGGGCGATATGAAATAGCATTGAAAGTATACGAAAAATGGTGTGCTGAAAGAAATGCTAAGAATATTGCTTCAGAGACAGTCTTGATGGCATATTTTAGCGACACGGCAAGGCAGAAAAAACCATCTACTCTTTGGACTACGTACAGCATGATACAGACAATGCTAGAATTAAGGGTAAAGACTGACATATCAAAATATCACAAACTTGTCGCTTTTTTGAAACGTCAGAATGTAGGTTTTAAGCCAAAGAAGTCTAGCATTTTTACCTTCAACAAATAAATGTATTAAAATCTTTAATTATTATTGTTAATCTTCTTGTTTATTTTTGTTGATGTTAGATAAGTATTTAATAAAGATATTACAAGAATATTTTGCTTAATTAAATGAGGCGAGAAATATGAAAAACCGAGTGAGGGAAATGAAAGAGGGAAGAAATGTAGATAATTTGACACTTTCAAATTTTTTAAAAGTCAGTAATGTCAGTATTACCATATGTGGTTGTAAATAAAATAACATAAAACTTAAAAATATTAATATTAATAACAAAAAAATGTCAATATCCAATTTAAATCATAATGCACAATTAGCAATAAAAACGACATAAAAAATACAATCAACTATGCGTAATCTATATTTGATATACGAACTTTTGGTTTTATCATGTGCTGCCAGTAACGCCAGTTTTAAGATGTTCTGTAAACAAATTGCTGTTCTAGCTTTTCTATGTCTAGGTACCACATTGGTAACGGAATCTGTGTTAGACAGTGATCTAAATAGAGAAAACCTATGCACAGACACTTTCAGGCAAGTAAAAACTACTAATAGCTAATAGCAGGATGTGTGATATCGACTCAGTTAACAATTCTGTTCGTAACATGAAATTTCTTGCGTAAAAAATAATTTTTCACGATTTACGAGATTGGCCGACTGATATTTCCATACCAACCAATCAAAAAATTTCTCGAAATTTATTCAAAAACTATCATGACCTGAACGCAGTGTTCGGTCACACTCGGCAAGAAAGATGTTCAAAGGTCTTGCTATAGGATGGTAAAATTTAAAAATATATCGATATATTTATTTTAATATATCGATGCAATTATACAGGGTGTCCCAGAAATTAGTGCAAGTATTTTAAGGGGTGGTGACCAACAGCGATGCCTTTGAAATGAAGATCGCTGTCATTTCATATGTAAAATTATATGGGGAATGTAATAGGTCGTCAGTTCCAAGCCAACTGGACGATATTTTTTACGGTTATGCGGTATTTCCTGTGAATAAATTTTATAAAACATATCACCGTCCCTACATTCCAAATTTTATTTACAAATCTATAACTCTATGATTCACACCATAGCTAAGAATTTCAATGTCAAAAGAAATAAACTAGATGATATTTTTGATACCTACAGTATGATGGACTAGATATTGTGAGTTACTAGCAAAAATTTATTTGGACAGCTTCTGATGGACAGTTTGTTTAAAAATAGCAAATCTATACTAATATATAAAATCCTTAAATGACTGACTCACTGATTAATCACGATCCTGCTCAAACCACTCAACCTAAGAAGCTCAATTTTGGCATACAGATTGATTCTAGGGTATAGAGGTTCGATAAGAAGGGATTTTTCGAAATTACAGTTTCAAGGGGGTGAAACCACCCCTAAAATATTCAAAAAAAACGGTCAAGTTTCCGAAAAAACGCTTAAACAAGTGTATTTTATTTTGATTTTTTACATATTTTAAGATTTTTTAAAGATGTATACAAGGTGTTTCAAAAAATCTGGTCGATGATTAATCACGATCCTGCTTAAAGCGCTTTGACGTATAAAGCTGCTTTTTGGAAAACGGATTAACTTTAAGGTGTAGAGGTTCGATAAGAAGAGATTTTCCGAAACTCGAATTCTAAGGGGGCGAAACCACCCCTCAAGTATTAGAATATTTTTTATTTAAAAACCGGTGAGTTTTTCGGAAAAACTCTTAAACGCGTATTTTGTATTTTGTTGTTTTACATATTTTAAGATTTTTTTTAAAATTTATACAGGGTGTTTCATAAAATATGACCATTGAGTAATCACGATTCTGTTTAAACTGCTTGACGTTTAAAGCTGATGTTTGGTAAACGGATTTACTGTGGGGTGTAGAGGTTCTATAAGGAGGGGTTTCTTGAATCTCAAATTCCAAGAGGGTGAAAACGCCCCTCAAATATTATGATATTTGTTATTTAAAAAACGGTTAGTTTTTCGGGAAAACGCTTGGACACGCATAATTTATTTTGTTTTTTAACATATTTTGTGTTCCAAAAAGTTGTGTAATCGATTAACCACGATTCTGCTTAAACTGCTTAACGTAAAAAGCTTATTTTTGGCAAACGGATTTTTCGAAAGTCAAATTCCAACAAGATGAAACTACCCCACAAATATTACCAAGTTTACCTAAGTTGCTATTTTACAGCCAGAAAATGCAACAAAAAACGTGGTTTACAAAGAGACCTTTTTATATCTCTTTTGTTATCGCAGTACTTTTTTCAAATCTACCCCTAAGGAGGTTAGGTTAGGTTAGGGCTGAAAATGATTTTTGTCTTTCATATTTAGTAACTGCCAAAATATAATAATATCGCCATATTGTTTTTTCTCATGCTGATATAAATGTGAGAAAATTTTATCCAGTTTGTATGTTAATGAAAATTCTGGCTTTGCTTTATCATCACCCTTACAAATGATTAATTCGACGCCAACGAAGTCTCGGGTACACGCTAGTATGCTAATAATTTTTTAAATCAAATGAGGGATAACGAATGTAACGCTGTATATAAATTTAGGTTCATGAAGCAGATATCATGTGTACAGCATGATATGTGTATATAGGATTAAAAAAATTATAAATAATACCGCTCTACATACAAATATAAATTTATCATCGCCTTGATTTACCCTGTATATTGATTTTTTCTTCAAATTGATTAATTTTAGATACGTTAATGATGCAGCAGGATATGTTACTGGTGAAGTTACTATACCGGTAAATGGTTTAAAAGATATAGTCGTTACTGTAAATGCTACGGTAGCAGGAGTCTTGGATAAGAAAACTGTACGTGGGAGATTTAAAATATATTGAAAGAAAAGAAGCAAAAAAAGCTATTTTAATTTTTAGAAACTCCTTATCAATTTGAAGAGTAATCCACAAGATCTAATATATAATCCAAAGGGCAAAGCCGTCTACGACGTATTATTCCCTACTCAAAATCCTCTGCCTGAAGTTACACAAATAAGTTTAAACGGCCAAATATTGTGTCTTTCAGACACAATTCCCAGCCGTAAGTATATTATTATTGGTATAGGCTTGGTTCATTCTCCGCCGCTGCTGCCACCATCGGAGAATATCGTAAAAAACTGATATATACAAATACACTGGTTTAAATAGCGAGTCTTCTTCTCTATGTACCGTCTCCATATCGAAGGTTGGCTATCATCATTGCTATTTTGACCTTAGAAGCTGCGGCCCTAAATAGGTCAGATGACGTGACATTAAACCATTTTCGCAGGTTTCTGAGCTAGGATATTCTTCTCCTTCCAAAAGATCTTTTTCTTACAATTTTTCCCTGGATTATAAGTTGCAAAATCTCATACCTTGGACCTCTCATGATATGGCCGAGATATTGCAATTTTCTTTTTTTTTCACTTCCTTGAGGATCTCTACGCCCTTACTCATTCTTCTCAGGACCTCCTCGTTGGTTACATGTTCTGTCCATGGTATTCTCAACATCCTACGGTATGCCCACATCTCGAAGGCCTCCAGTTTCCAGTTTCTCAGACCTGGCAAAGGTCGTTGAGGGTCCAAGCTTCCATACCATAAAAAAGGACTGGGAATAACATAACATTTGAGCATACGAGTTCTCAGATCTAGGCTCAAATCGCGGCTACAGAGCAGCTTCTTAATCCTCACATAGGATGCACAAGCCTTCCCAATACGAATCTTTATTCAGGTAGTCATACCTCTCTACTCTTTCTCTACCTCTCTACTAAATAGCGAGTATAGTTTTAATCACCGGTTTTGCTAATGGGGTAATAATTGGGGCTATTTCGGCTATAACGAAATTGTACATAATTATAACTGTGATTATAATTTTAGAAGATAACCTTTTATCACTAGTTGTTGAAAAAAAGGTATACCATTAATATTGCAAATTATATTTTATCCTCCCATAGTATAGTCTATTTTATTTTTTGATTAATGTAACGAGCACTTATTTGTGTCACTTGTTTCGTCAAACTGCTTGGATCCATTTTTGCTTTTGATTAAATCGGTGTGAGAAACTATGAATCTATAAAATGTTGTTTCGGGAGTGTTGATATCCGGGAAACTTGAGTTATTGAATTTTATTGCAGTCAACAGCGTCATAATTACACTCTCCTTTACGTGTTAACATTTTTTCGACAAATAATTTAATATTTGAAATAGTCACAACACAGAGCGACGCAACGCCCAGTTCGGGTTCTCCTTCGCTTAAGTTTTACTACCCGAAACAGCGTTACATTACACAAACCTGGTACCTGAGTACTTTTTTAGTTTCAATAACTGCACTACCAAAAAACTAAACTAATTAAATATTATGACAAAGCCACGATTTCAATAATATTTTAATGCGATCAACATGAACTGTAACCGGGCCGGCGCGGCGTGAAATATATGAAGAAAATGTCTGATTTCTGCCGTGTCGGAATTTTTTGAAATCAACTGAAATGCACCAAGTCTAAAGAAGACATACTGCCTTGAGAACTAGCGATTGCATTACCGGTTTATCGATTTACCGCTTTACCGGTTAAATGTCCTAAAAACGCGGTAACCGATAAATTGTCTTCAGACTCTTAACTTTAGTAGTAATTTAGTCTATCTCTTGGGTCCTATTTTCTGCGCGAGCAGCGTCCAAATGTAGTTGATGCAAATACACTTTTACCGTGTCAACTAGGCTTTATGTTATCGCGTGAAAATTTTAAAATTCTCGTTAGATTAATTGTGAGAGTAATGTTATTTATATTTTTCAGTTAAACCTGGTGAATCTTTAACCTATATGTCCTCCAGTCATCGTGTAACCATCAGTTAGCTTATAAACAAAGGACAGAAGTTTTATTGTTTACCAACATTGCAGTTTTTGCTAACTCTAATTCATCATTAGCATTCTCGGAAGTAATTAATATAATAATAAATGTTATACAAAAAAGGTGTTTTATTTCTAGTTTGCTTTCAAAGTTCCTGAAATTAAACTACTTTAGCACTTTTCACTTGGAAGCTCCAATCATCATCATCATCATCATCATGTAGCCATCGTTGTCCACTGCTGAACGTAGGTCTCCTCCATATTTCTCCATGTCTCTCGATTTTGGGCCGTCATCATCCAATTTCCAGCAATCCTCTTTACATCATCGGTCCAGCGTGTCAGTGGTCTGCCTCTGCTACGTTTATCTACTCGAGGTCGCCATTCTAACAATCTTCTAGTCCACCTGTATTTAGATGTTCTCGCTACATGAGCTGCCCATCTCCATTTCATTCGAGTTACGTGTTCCACTTTGTCTTTAATTTTGGTTTTTTGTCTGATAGTGTTATTAGGAATTTTGTCTCTTTTAGTTATTCCAAGCATGGCTCTCTCCATGGCTCTCTGGGCTACTCTTAAATTTTCTGCTGACTTTTTCGTTAATGTTAGAGTTTCCGCTCCATATGTAATTACCGGCAAGACGCATTGTTCATAAACTTTGCTCTTCAAGCATATGGGTATATCACTTTTAAAGGTCTCCCGCAGTTTGCCAAAAGCAGCCCAACCCAAACCTATTCTGCGCTGTATCTCGTGTGTTTGGTTGTTCTTTCCGATTTGTATTTCGTGCCCGAGATATTTGTATATATGTGTCTTTTATGTCGGCGTCACCTATTCTGATGTTCTGTGTCAGCACTAAGTTTGTCATTATTTGCGTTTTACTCGTATTTATCCGGAGACCGACTTTTAATGAGGCCTGCACTAATTCTTCGAGCATCTGCTTTGAATCTCCGATGTTATCTGAGACAAGGACGATGTCATCTGCGAATCTGAGATGTGTCAACCTTTCACCATCGATATTTATGCCCCTATTCTCCCAAGAGAGTGATTTCATTGCGTATTCAAGGACAGCTGTAAAAATTTTAGGCGAAATAGTATCCCCTTGTCGAACTCCTCTGCCTACCTCAATTTTATCTGTTGTTTCGTGAAGTTTTACAGTTGTGGTGGCATTACTATATATGTATTCTATAAGCCTTGTATACCTATAATCTACTCTTCCCTGCTCTAATGCTGCTATTATTGATGTTAATTCTACTGTGTCAAATGCTTTCTGGAAATCAACGAACACCAATGCTAGGGGCCTGTTGTATTTCACAGATTTTTCTATCAGGATTTTAATTAATTGAAGATGATCGTTTGTTCCATAACCTTTCCTAAAGCCTGCCTGTTCTCTTGGTTGATAGAAATCTAGTTTACGTTCGAGACGTTTGGCAATGATTTTGGTAAACAGCTTAGACAAGTGACAAAGAAGGCTTATCGGTCTATAATTTTCAAGCTCGGTGATATCTTTTATATGGAGAAGATAACCTTTTTATGGAGAAGTATCGTTATGGCGTTGTTGCATTGAGACGGAATTATTCCTTTTTCAAGGCAAGCGACCACAGAATGGTTAGAGCGACGTCAAGATAGACTTGAAAAGAGAAAGGTCAAAAATGGTTCGACAAAACAAAAATACTAAATGGAACCCCCCTAACAGTGACTTCAACTATGCAGATTCCGTTACAGCTTTCCTGGAAGAACGGACCTTAAACAGCCAACACGGTATTGAAAATATAAGTTGCAATATTGTTGAAGCCATTAAAGAAGCGGAAGTACAACACTGCCAACAAATTAATAACAAACAACAAAAACTCACCCAAAATACAAAGAATATATATCTTTGCGAAAAGAAATGTTAAAACAAAATAACAGAAACTCTGAAGACCTGAGACAATTGAACAAAACAATATCTAAAGAAATCAAAAAGGACGTAAGAAAATTTAATACAGATAATATAAGGCGAACTATAGAAGAGAATAAAAGGATGAAGGTGTTGCGGGGGAAACTATCAAATGGAAAGAGAGAGATCTTTAAACTAAAAGACAACCAAGGGGTCGTAACAACAAATAGGGAAAGGCTGTTGAAAATAACTGAAAACTTTTACACTGAACTATACACAAGTAATCACCAACAAACATACAACAGTCAACAACGTCTGTGCAACAAGATAGTTAATCAGGGATCAGAGGATATACCGGAAATAACTACAGAAGAAATCAGAAACTCCTTAAAAGAAATGAAAAATAACAAAGCCCCGGGCGAGGACGGCATAGTGATTGAGGCTGTAAAACTCGGAGGAGGAACACTATTAAAATGGATTAAAGACTTCTTTAATCTATGCCTTGGAAGCTCCAATAGAATGAACTTATTCATTTCAGTGTTATTTAAATTATTAATAAGATAAAAAATTCAGTCAAACTTTGTTTTGAAAAAATTTGAAAAAACTAGGGAAATTATTTTTTCTGTTTTTTTTAGCAAAAACAGTCCGCTACTGAGCGGTAAAGAAATCACCTCTAAAAACAGGCCTGTTGGTTTCAATGACAATAATAAAATAAACCTTCACGTATAAAATTACACATGTTTTATTTACATTTTCCGCTTGATTTGAGACTGAGCAGAATATTAATGAGTCTACTAGCCAATTTTGTGCTTTTTATATTGGATAAAAAAATAAAAAATAAATGAACTATTAGCTGTGCAATAAACACATATACCTACACATATCCGAAGGACACCGAACCTGAGATGAGACTATGATATTAGGAAATTAGCAGATTAGCAATGGGCTCTACTACAAAGAGAGAATCTAAATATTTGGGGGACTACACCATAATTGGAAATGGTTGAATAAGCTGAAAATGATGATTATGATGATACATATATCCTATGTATGCTAATGATGAATAGTGTATGAAACTGAAAATTGTTCTATTTAACATTAGCTGGAAATGTATATATTCCCTTTCTTAAAGAAATAAACAATGCGTACAAAGCCCGGAGAGCTTACGATTGTTGTTGGCTGCCAGCTGTTGCTAGTTCATTTAGAATTACCCAGAATCCACTAACACCTGCACCCCTGGGGATCATCTCTAGCTACTCTAAGAACATCAGCCTTCAGCTTCGTGTGCTCAACGGCCAAATACAGTTCGCCTGTCTGGTTGAATAGTGCCCATGTTACAACCAAGTGGATGTCCAAGTGAATATCACAATGCGAATCATTTCAGGGGCTATACGAACTATGCCCACATACTGGTTGCCTGTTTTAAATAGCATCCCTCCCCCAAATTTGAAGCAAAAACGGGCTTTGCATAAAGAACACAAGAAAATATTGCTAAACCAGGAACTACCAATATATTCTGATATAGACTCCGCTCAAGAAAACCACTACTCTCATCAAAAACACTTGGGATACTGACGAAAATGCAGAGCTCAACGTGTATGATGCATGGATGACCGAATGGATGAAAAACGCTCCACCACAAAGTCGGAATTTTACATGAATTTCAGCAGTACCTACTGCATGGTTTTGAGAAACCTCGCCAGATATGGGTAACTTTAAACAGGCTAAAGTATCGAACATGTCAGATGCATGGATTCTCTCTATAAATGGGGAAAGGCCCCCACTCCGCTTTGTAATTGTGGAGCTCTACGACATAATAGAGAAGAATACACTTTTGGTGTGTATTTTTCTCTAACCATCTTCGTGTATTATTCATACACGCGCATGAGTAAGTGTAATTGATTATACATATAAAGGGACTAAATGTTTGTTTGTGACAAGTTTGGTTTGTACATTTTTTACGTTCTAATCTAGCTATATTTAGTTTTTGCCTGTGCACTCGTGTAGAAGTACTATATAATAAAAAAACAGCGTCAAAGACGGTTGGGGAATGACAATCGATAATAATTTTAGCGAGGTCAATCTCTGGACGTTACTTACTAAATATTGATATAAAACTTTGTCAAAAATTAACACCAATTATAGAGAGATTAAAAAAGTATAGAACGTTTCCAGACACACAATTATTTTTAAAAGAGTATTTTTTCTCCAATTTTAAACTACACTATTTAAAAATCATTTTTACTCAATATAAAAATAAATTACAACCTTTTTAAAACCAACTGGCAGAAAAGTGGCACAGTAAATGACGTTTAGGGCTTGACCTCGCCAAAATTATCATCAACTATCATTCCTCAGCCGTCTTTGACGCCGTTTTTTTTCGAACATACGATATTTCATCACTAACAGAACAGTCTTTGCATTAATGTAAATATTAGTAAGACGTAGAAAGTGAACTGCAAGTATGTATAATGACTTAAATGATGTCTGTTAAATCACTAAAATTTTAATTAAAATGATTTTTTAAATGAATTTAAAAAAAATAAAGCTTAGACGACGCCTCTGATTATATTTGTCGCAACAGCAAAAAAAGGGCAGCAAATTTTATTTTCGCTAAATCGTCGAAACGCGAACGGCATTGAAAATAAGGACTGTTTCGAAATCTCTGCGTTCTGAGCAGCAAAATTACGACGTTGAAGCGAAACAAGTTAAAACTTTTCACTTTTCATAAAGGAAAAGATTTTTCCTTTTTCCGTTATTATGGCTGTAAGTAGTTTCGTAAATGGGCTTAAAGAAAATATTAGCTCTTATTAGACTGCTCTATTTCTACATTTAAATGTTAGACTGAAGGAATGAATAGAAAATTAAATTTAAGAAAATTAAAAATAATACGCAAAATGTTACTCGCAATAATTTTGTATAAGCGGTACCATATAAACTTTTAATTACGTCACCGAGGGTGCGATTATTAAATTCAATGTTGCCAACCGTGGACATATTGGGCGCCGGGCTGACTAAGTGGAATTTAAATTTCCCGCTGGAGATTTAGGTGGTAGCTCTGTTTTAAAACATGTTTTTGGTTTAAACAGTTTTACTAGCAGACCTTGCAGTCGAAAATTGTCTTTTTAGAGCATCTTTTAGTGTAAAGTGAACAAGATTCCAAAGCAGCTTAACAGCCGTTGCAAAAAACTCGTCGCAACCTTGTGTTTATAATTAATTAAATTTTGTTTCCTAAAATATTTTGATT